GCGTATTAACGATGTGTGCAACCGGCCAAACAAGACCCTAGGCTCCCTGCGGCGAAATCTAAGGATTTGCAACTCCTGTGTGAAAGAAAGAGCATATAAAGCCTTTATCCGTCCGATTTTAGATTATGCATCTTCAGTCTGGGACCCATTTACCCAGAAGAGCATTGACAGGTTGGAGGCGGTCCAGCGACGAGCAGCACGCTTTGTCCTAAACCGCTACAGGAATACCTCAAGTGTTGGCAGCATGCTAGAAACACTAGGCTGGTCACCATTGGAGAAACGACGACGACAATCCAGGCTCTCCATGATGTACAAGATAAATAATGGGCTGGTCCACTGTTCCAGTATTAAACAGAAACTCGTACCTCTCCCCCATAGACAGCGACGAGGCCATGACAGGCAATTCAGGCTCATACCAGCAAGAAGCCAGTATAGGAGCTGCTCATTCCTGCCCAAGACAATCAGGGACTGGAACAATCTTTCAAAAGGAACGGTTGAGGCGACAACACTAGACACATTTGTGTCTATTGCCTCAAGCCTTCAAACCCCCAGTGCATGATTCCCTCACAAAGTGGCACTGGAAATCTGTGAAATTTCCTCATCAACACCAGGAACAGAAACATTGCAAATCCCATCTACATGCATAGGAGCCAAAATGATCAATAAATTGATCGTGGGCCCTTAAGATATAGAAGAAGAAGAAAAGAATTTCTGTTGCTTTCGGTTTTAACTATAAGAGAAAGAATTCGCCCTGATTAAGCTGATCTTGTGATGAAGAAGATGGATGCATCATCCAATTTTGTTGCAGATTTACAAGGGCAAATTTCTTCAAATAGTTGTTCAAATGAAGGATGATTAGATCTATTTTGTTTAATATTACGCAAAGAAAGTCTGTGTCAAAAATATTTTATGAAAATAAGGCATATTTAAGTTTTTATCTACATTCATTTCGAGTTCTTTGGCTACATAGATCTTATATACACTTCTTAAATGTCGTCTTTGGCTACATAGATCTTATCTACACTTCTTAAATGTCATTCTTTGGCTACATAGATCTTATCTACACTTCTTAAATGTCGTCTTTGGCTACATAGAGTGCTCCTCCACAGCTCTGCACAGAATTTCATTACATAATGCATTTTAAAAGAAATGTGTACATTATTTTCTCCTTTTATCGCGTTTTAACTCATCTTTGATATAATCTCTTGTTTGAAATATATTCTTTTCATTTCTTAAATTCTTATACAAACGTACACATATTATTTAAGGAATCTTTATAGCACCATCACGGTGATACCACACTATCAATCATTTTTATTTAAGCCACTCGCTTCCACAATTTCAAATTTCGTAAGTAATATTGAATTCTCGGACAGAACTTAGAAATAATACACACACACACACACATACACACACAAGTACGCACGCACACACAAACATTTACGTGTTTGCTACTGAATATCACCCGACAGTCAACATGTGAAGCCAAATTACATTAGTTTGCAAACGGAAAGTGCCATTGTTATAATCAAAGATTGATTAGACACGAACAATTTGGGTCAATATGTTCAGCTTTAATCATAATTTTACATAGTACACACATAAACGATTCGGCCAATGCCTTCCTGGTTGGGTATATTATGTACTCTGCATTCCATTGTATCAGCATCTGTCACCGGCTCAGCCCTAGTACAAGACGAGAATGCTACCAAAATGCCACATCTTTGCCGCGAAATACTACCACAAAAACATGGATTAATAATGTATTGGAATAAAAAACACGAAAAACAACACAACTACAAAGTTGTATGGACTCATCCATCAAATCAAATTTTCTTCAATGTTCAGTGAAATTTATTTCACTTTTTTTTTGGACATCGATATTAACTTACACAAGAAACAATATCCAAGATCACAGTCAGTCACAACTCAGTGCTTTACTAATTGCTCCATCCTTTATCATGAAGGTTTACTAAATTCGTGCTGGGCCCAATGATTCTGCGTTAGAACCCTTGTTAATTTCATGTTATGTTGCCTTTGCTTAAGTGTTAGCGTCATGTTCTCATTACGGAAGTTGTTATTTAAATTATAAAAAAAAAATGAAGCTGGCATGAGTGTCAAAGGCATAAGGTCTACTCAGGGTTATAGGCGGACATGAGTGAATCAGAGGCATATGGTCTGATCAAGGTCATTTGCGTAAACAAGTCGGAGGGAGAGTGTGATGTTCTTGTACGGGAATTATTATCATTTTTGGTTTATTTAAATGTAAACATGTTTTTGGGTTTAGGTTGAAGGGGCCATAACAAGAAAGGCTTTTAGGAGAGTTATAGATTAATGACGCAAACAACGTAAATGTTAATTAAACGATATTTGTTAAACTTTAATAATGATTTTGCAATATACAAATTCAAACGTTTTGGGCCAATTTCCATACCAGTACAACAACAACAAAAAACATAAGGTGTTACGATCTTCCTAACATAAATAACTTCCACGTGTTAGGATCTTCATTCTTTTCCCATGAACAACTCCCGCAGTGGGTACGTTCACTGAGGGCAGTAGACTCCCCCGTTTTCTGGGGGTTACAATCACACTATGTATCGAAAACTCCAGTCTTACGATCTCGACATGACCACAGTTCACTAGCTTCCTTGTCTGGCGTTTCATTCAATTACATTAACAAAACATTGATTCCTGCCAAATGTCTCTTCATTAAACAAACAACTCCGAAAATTGTAACACTCCATTGTATAATGACGCCATCGCTGCTATTCAAAACCATAAAACATTTTCAACGTCATTTCCCATAAGCAAATGCGTCACAAAATACCGAGCACATAGAAACAGCTACACAAGTAGCCTCAACACGAAACAACACACGCACAAAAACCTCTCACGATCAACAAATTTCAATACCAATCATTCACGACCCTGAATCTAGTTGACAACATGGGGTACCTAGAGGTTAACAGTCATGGGTCGACCATGTTTAATGCTTATTACCACATCTATATAGTAGTTGTCGGATTGTGGAAGGAAGAATCGTAAGTTTGTGATCTAGCCCTAAAATCAGCCTTTAGTAAAACTACGACACTGCTTGGGTGGGTTGATAGGATGATAGAAATGTATAAAAAGCATCATTTGCAAAACACGGAACAATTTCAGTCCATGTTAGTAACATTTTTCACATTCAGTAAAAGCTTCGTGACTTCTCGGACCCGTGTCATAGGATCGAACTCCTCAAATATTAAGGGGCAGTTCTAGTGATGAAACGACGAAAATACTATTTTTGATTTTTTCCGGTAAATTGATATACATTTGGTTTCAAAAACCTTTTTTTTTCAAAATTTAATTAAATTTTTAAAAATTATTAAATTATTATTATTATTTAATTATTAAAGATATAAGAAAAGTGGGCAAAATATTATTTTGTAAATCCCTATAAATGAGTGGAAAATCATTTTTAAAATGTTTTAAATTTTTACCGATTCGAATCAGGTAGACTACTTGGAATCGCCAAAGGGATGGATGTTATGCGATACGTACCCTTCGGTATTTGTATATGGATAATCAAGAGTATGTGTATTAAATTTGGTCAAGATCCATCGATTCATGTAGCAGTATTTGTTGATCATTTTATTTATAAAGCTCATATAAGAAAAAAAATGAGATTTTGGGCCCCCGGTCCCAAACAATTTAGAGTTTTGAAATGACACCTGCCTAACTTTTGTATGTGAGCTGTAAGGAATAAGCAACCCGAATTTCAGGCTGCCATCTACTCGAGAAGTTGGAGAATTAGTGATGAGTGAGTCAGGGCTTTGCCTTTTATTAACTATAGATAATGTCTTACTATTCTGGTGGCACCCTGTTCTCAGTGGCCTAGGAAGGTGGCGTGATGGGGGCGGTTCACCGTGGGTGGCACCCTGCTCTCAGTGGCCTAGGAAGATGGTGTGATGGGGGCGTTTCACCGTGGGTGGCACTCTGTTCTCAGTGGCCTAGGAAGATGGTGTGATGGGGGCGTTTCACCGTGGGTGGCACCCTGTTCTCAGTGGCCTAGGAAGGTGGTGTGATGGGGGCGGTTCGCTGTGGATGGTAGCTTTCCCCACACATTGAGAAAAGTTTTTTGGTCACCTGCATTTTTTTTTAGTGGAATCGGGGGGATGGAAAAAATAACAAATTTAGCTCACCCTGGACAGAACTCACCATAGCTACGCCACTGCCTTTCTTTAGTTTACAAAAATGTTATTACATCCGTTGTGATACAGACTCCAGAAATTCTGCCGAATACGCAATATTCAATTTTGTGTCAACCCCTAAAAGGGAGTGACGGGACAGTCAGCACCCCACAGAATCCCAACCACCCAGGACCGTCTTAACACCATAGGAGGCCCTGGGCACAGTAATGCACTGGGGCCCCCTAGCAACACAACATACCTGTGCCGTGAGAAGGGGGGGAAGGGGGGCACTCGCCCCATGATTAAACCATTAAGGGGGGGGGGGGCAAACAGTTCCTACTCCCCATCAACTCACCCAGAGGAAATACTATTTACTATTAAGCTACTGCATTGTACTATTTTGAGGAGTTCGAACATAAATAGGTCTGCAATGAAACAAGAAAATATAGATACAATAAATTTAAAATTGAAAATGGTAAAATTAAGGCGCATAGCAGCCAAGAGATCATTTATAATATTAATTTTGGAATGTGCTAATGTATATCTTGGGTTAAAATTGGGAATTTTATATATATATATATATATATATATATATATATATATATATATATATATATGTGTGTGTGTGTGTGTGTGTGAGAGAGAGAGAGAGAGAGAGAGAGAGTGTTAGTGTGTGAGAATATGTGTGTGTGTGTGTTTTTTTTTGACATTCTTAAGATCCAACACAACGTGTTTCGTTTGGTAGTTCTGCAAATGCTCAAATATCTCATTTTAATATTTAATTTAAAAAAAAAACAACATGAAATAAGGCCAGTTTCTTTTTGTTATTTTCTCAAGGAAATTTATTTTAAAAATATTATTGAAATTTACAGCACACATTTCTTTGAACAATAAAGTTTGTTTTATCATTTATTAGTTTACAATGGCAATTGCAAATTATTGAAGAACATAAGACCATTTATAGAGTTAGATCGTCCACGTGATGACATCTGTCTATCGGGAACACTTGCACTGCTGTGCTTTCCTGGCAATAGGACAGTTCGAGGAGGACAGCACACAGTTCCCGGATCTGTAGCCGAGTTGACGACACCTCTCCTGGCAGGAGGACCAAGCTTTGCCAGTGAGGAAACTGCTCCAGCTGGGGGGAATGACGAAGATAATCAATCATTGGGATTAAGCAGGGGCGGAGCAAAACGTAGAAGTTATCTAAAAGAAGCATGTTGTTATATGTAGGGAAGTTGGCCCACGTTTCAGGTGATGAGTTGTTTGTCAACACATGAATCCCGTGTCTTTTCACATGCCCCTTATCACGAATGCATATCTATCCTCTAATCTCGTCTATATCTCAGCATACTAATCCCGTATGTGCCTCAACCCACTGATCTCGTGTGTATCTCAGCATACTAATCCCGTATGTGCCTCAACCCACTGATCTCGTGTGTATCTAAGCATACTAATCATTTGTGAATCCTAACCCTCTATCCAGTGCGTGTCTCAAAACCCACTACTCCTGTGTGCATCGCAACCCACTAATCCCATATTTAGGACAACCAACTAATCCCGTATTAAGGACAACAAACTAATCCCGAATTTATCGTAATCCTTAATCCCAAATGCAACACAAGATCGCGTACGTACTAAAACGTACTAATCCCGTACACATGCATAAACTTTTATAAAACTTGAAGTGGATCAAAAATGCACCTACAAAAAAAAAATGGCTAACTGGGACGATCTGCCCCCTCCCCCATCACCCGTCTTGTTACGCTGGCGCCTATGCAACAACCAAAAAAAACAAAAACAAAAAAGGAACAAAAAGAAAAAAATATTAATTACCAGAAAAGTTTTGGTCCATCTCGTTATCTTACCTAGAGCAACGGCTCCACGTGTCCCAGCAGTCACCCACGAAGTTGGCCTCCGACGTATGCGTCATCAGCGCCGCCACTGCAAGAACCAGGCAGACGACAGAAAGCTTAAGTACTGGACTCATGGTCGGATGTGAGAAGATGTGAAAGGAATACTTACTAAGACTTGTGAAACACGTCGACCAATGGTCCACAACAGAGAGCATCGACTTTTATACGAAGAGCAGCAGGATGTCTTCGTTCTCGCTCTGGGAATGTTACTGCGTCTTTCATTGATGGGGGCATTTCAAGTGCTAACATGGCAAAGCGTCAGGTAAATAGTCCTAAAAAAGCATTACCTAATATAAAGGTAGTTTGGCACATGAACGGTCTCGTATACTTCAGTTATTAGGGCAAGGGTTCCCAGCCCATCGCGGGTGACCATACCTTTTTAGATGAGATTGAAATAGGATTTCTGTGGGGGCCGCCGGCTGAAACACTTTAACTAAGAAAAATAGTGAATTGAAATAAAAAAAAAAGGTTTTGTAGTTGAGTCCTTAAATTTTGCGTTGTGCTCATTTCAGACTATGTTATTGGAGGGAAGATGGGTTCGGTAGAGCGGGGGAGGTGGGACTTTCTGCGTTAGATAAGTGGGCAGGAATCTATCAGAGCTAAAATAATATTAGGCAGAATTGTGCCCAGGGTCAGCTATCAATATTTCCACCCGCAATCAATGTTCCCTTTAAGCTGAGCGGGTGCGCGGCCGCGCAGTAATCTCACAGACGCCGCGCAGTAGTTTTGAGTACCGCGCAGCTAATTTCCACTTAAGATGTGTTTGTGTCTGTAGGCTGTAAATTTTGCGCAAAAAAAAAATTGATGCTGTAAAAATTTGCACACTTCAGCTCAGACCAAGCCTCACTTTCTAAAACCACCGGGCGTAAGTATGGTGTAGGAGCCTTCAGCGGGGAAATAATTCTGCATACATACCAGTAATCGTATGTAGCATGCAATTATTTCAGTAGAAATATCTAGTGAAAGTCTCAAATGTAGGTGAAGATAGTCGATTTCTGTTCGTTTTAAATTTTTGTTGTTGTTGGTCTTCCTGTTCGATGGCTTACATTTTACCACTGACAAAGAACAATGGGGAAGTATTGTAACTGAAATTAGCAACAAGACTTAGTTCTCCGTGTACTTACAGATTTGCCTCCAATGAACATAGTTCTATTCCTTTTTTCTTTCTTTCTTTGTTTTTTTTTTGTTGTTTTGTTTATTTTGCCAACCTCAAGTCACGTGACACAACTACTTGAAACGCCCGTAATCTGTGATATTAAGTTTTCATAATGAAATATGTTGCTGGGATGTCTTTCCGCTTTAGTCAGGCCACGAAACTCGAATATAGCAGTAATGGCAGCCATTGTTTCAATGGGCGGGATATTTTCGCACTGAAGTCCTCTGGCGATGTTCCCACGTTGGAGAAAAAGTGCCTTAAGACTGGCCGAGCTGCTCACTGGAAAAAAAAAATGAAAAAAAAACCAAAGAAGTAATAAAAATAAATCGGGCAACGTCCATTCGCACACTTGCAGGCACTATAAGCTCGGGTCACGCCCATTCGTACACCTGCAGACACTACTAGGTCGGGTCACGCCCATTCGTACACCTGCAGGCACTACTAGGTCGGGTCACGCCCATCCGTACACCTGCAGGCACTTTAAGCTCGGGTCACGCCCATTCGTACACTTGCAGGCACTATAAGCTCGGTCACGCCCATTCGTACACCTTCAGACACTACTAGGTCGGGTCACGCCCATTCGTACACCTGCAGGCACTACTAGGTCGTGTCACGCCCATTCGTACACCTGCAGGCACTTTAAGCTCGGGTCACGGCCATTCGTACACTTGCAGGCACTATAAGCTCGGTCACGCCCATTCGTACACCTGCAGACACTACTAGGTCGGGTCACGCCCATTCGTACACCTGCAGGCACTACTAGGTCGGGTCACGCCCATTCGTACACATGCAGACACTTTAAGCTCGGGTCACGCCCATTCGTACACCTGCAGGAACTATAAGCTCGGTCACGCCCATTCGTACACCTGCAGGCACTATAAGCTCGGGTCACGCCCATTCGTACACATGCAGGCACTACTAGGCCGTGTCACGCCCATTCGTACACCTGCAGGCACTATAAGCTCGGTCACACGCATACGTACATCTGCAGGCACTATAAGCTCGGTCACGCCCATTTGTTCACCTGCAGGCTGTAAGCTCGGTCACGCCCATTCTTACACCTTCAGGCACTATAAGCTTGGGTCACACCCATTTGTACACCTGCAGGCACTATAAGCTCGGGTCACGCCCATTCGTACACCTGCAGGCACTACTAGGTCGTGTCACGCCCATTCGTACACCTGCAGGAACTACTAGGTCGTGTCACGCCCATTCGTACACCTGCTGGCACTACTAGGTCGTGTCACGCCCATTCGTACACCTGCAGGCACTACTAGGTCGTGTCACGCCCATTCGTACACCTGCAGGCACTACAAGCTCGGGTCACGCCCATTCGTACACCTGCAGGCCTTACAGGCGAACTTTTCTCGCCGGTCTTGTCAAAGTGCGTTGCCACAAATGAAGTTGTACAGATTGACCTGGGTCCAAGAACTGAGGAGAGCGACAAGGAAAATCTTATATTTTGGGCAGGCTGGCTCCAAACAATAGGAAAAAGGAATTATCGATCTCATTCTGTATAGTTTATGAGTGACGAGATTTTACCACTGTCCCATTTCAAGACATTTCAAACAGTACTCAACACAATGTGATTCAAGACACCATAGCCACTAGCATAGTATATTCCGTTAGTACACCTGAAACTTTTAACACGGTATGAAACGAATTAGTTCGTTGACCCTTGCAGTCTAAAGCATATTCAAACGTTTACATAATAGCTGAATTTTCTTTTCCCGTTTAAATTCAAATTGTACTTCCACCCACTGCTCTCCAGATTTATGTTTTGTCGCGGCATTGCGCCCACACTTGCGACCATCTTAATTCTCTTACTTACTTCTCTTAATAGGTCGTATATAGCTTATATTATTAAAATTTTTATTTAAATTAATGAAATATTTTAATCTTTTGTACTCATAAAGGCGTTTTGCTGAAAAATCTTAAATGTGCATTTTTTTTCATTTCATAATCAAATTTGACCCACACTGTTGAACTTACACAAACGGCTTTTGTCGTATTAATCTACTTAAAAGCGCCCTCGCAGTACAACTCTGTCATCATTAATCAAGCGCACATCAAAGTCTGTTGACCTGATGCAAATATCCGGGTACCGCCCACCCAGCATTGTGGAACCTCCAGAAAGAAAAGTATTTAAAACAAAAAAAACAGCAATATAATTTTTGTTATGAAAGGTTAAAATCTTTGTAAGACATATTGATGGATGACGTCAACACCAAACGTCTGGGAAACAGCAATTTCTGGTTATTCACATGAGAGAGCAAAACAAAAAGAACGCAGTCGATGTAATTGTACAGACGTTTCTTGTCTTACTTGACGGCATGAACAAATATAAGGTTGACTAGCTTGTCATTGTCACAATGCTGATTTTTTTTTTCCTTCGCATTTCAGCCAGCGTACCAAAGTATTGAAACTGGGCCAAGTTATGAGTCCCGAGAGATTAAATACGCCGAGCCGTTAAGAAGCAATATATATTTATAAATATATATATATAAATAAGTGAAAATGTTTGGGTTTGTTTGTTTGATCCACGTACGTTTTGACATCGATTGATTGATCTTGACCAAATTTGGCGCATAAAGCCATTATTATCCGTAAGGGGGTCCTATATTCGTTTTCTTATTATAAACTATATAAATAAATTGACCTACAAGTACTCCTACGAGAATAGGTGGATCTTGGACAAACTTAGTACACATATACTTGATTATCCATATTCAAATACCGAAGGGTACTGAACTCATAATATTCATTCCTCTGGGGGGGGGGGGCGCCCGTTTTATTTTTCTTTATTTAAGCTATGTAAATACTAATTTGCTTAGAAAACACTTTAAGTTTAATGTGAATAGATGGATATAAGCCTAGCTTGTTCGCAATCCCATTCATATTCCGTATTGCAATATAGGTGTATATAAAATGAATAACATCCAATCCATACAGGGCCGATCTAGACTTCTCCAGGAAGTTCGATAATTTAAATTTTAAAAAAGCCTTATCAGTGGCATTTTGAAATCAGATTGAATGGGACAACTTTGTCATTTTTAACTTGATCATAATAATAATAATAATAAGTGGTCTTATATAGCGCGGTACCCCGGCCTAGGGCTGGGCTCACCGCGCTGTACATATATAGCAAAGAGGCATAATCATAATATTAAAATAAAATACATAAATGAAATAAAAACAACATATAAGCAAAACAACACCATAGGTCTATTCATCCACCCACACCAGACATTTTTACAAGGAAACCCATGTACGTTTATCGGTTTATAGGAGGAGAATCAGTCAGAGTAGTATAGTTTAAATAGATGTGTTTTGAGTGCAGTTTTGAAGGCCTGTGTGGTTGTTATATTGCGGATGTGTAGTGGCAAAGAATTCCATTGTTTGGGGGCGCAGAAAGAGAAAGATCGTTCACCATATAATTTAGTGCGTGTCTTGGGAACGGACAGAATACGCGAGTCTGCGGAGGAGCGAAGTTGTCGAAGGGGTGAATAGACAGAAAGAAGTTCAGTTAGATAGG